TGTTTTCTAGTACAGTATACAGCACTGAATGTTAACACCTTTAAGATGCAAGGTGTACTGTTTTCTAGTACAGTACACTGTACTGAATGTTAACACTTAAGATGCAAGGTGCACTGTTTTCTAGTACAGTATACAGTAACTGAATGTTGAATCACTTAAGATGCAAGGTGCACTGTTTTTAGTACAGTATACAGCACTGAATGTTAACACTTAAGATGCAAGGTGTACTGTTTTCTAGTAGAGTTTACAGCACTTGAATGTTGACACTTACAAATGGCCCGAGCATCTTCTGACTTACTCAACTCTTCTTGAAATAATTGTAGTGGAGAATTATCATCCTGAAAAAACAAAACTTATTATAGTTGTGTTCACAAATGACAATACAATATCTATTCAATAATTTTAGGTCCCTCATTATACAAATTTTACGATATTTAAGCCAGACTTGACTGTACAGGTAACCTATAAACTATTGTGGACCCCCCCCCACCCCCTCTGTATTTACCTTGAAATAGGATGCAATCAAAGTCGCTAACAATGTGTTCCCACTTGGATCCCAGTATTCTTGCCAAGAATGTGACTTTTCACATGTTATTTATTTTCTCTATGACTTTAACGTTCATTTCGGATCAAATGGATGCCATGGTTAATCAGCTAAAGGTTTTGACCAAAATTTAAAAAAAAAAAATATGGAAAAAGTGTGTTTATTTCGGAAAGGGTGCAAAAATTATCTTTGTCACTGAAAATGTTACCTACCTCACTGTTATGTTCTGAAAGTTGAAGCTGCATTCTACTCTCCTGTAATCTATCAACTTCCTTTTTCAGCTCCTCGGAATACCATTTCTCCTCCTGCATGTAGATAAAACAAGTCAAAACAAATTTCTAATTATTTAAAACCTAAAATATGCATCATTAATTTGTTTTTGTAATACATGATATAAAAGAAATAGTAGTGACAATAGAACTACGTTATAGTGTTTATTATTGACATTGAAATTAATAAAATTGCATTAAAGTGTTCACAAGATCTTACAAATAAACATTGTGGCCAAATATCTCTGCTGTCTTGCAGTGTCTTTTTCAAAATAAAGTTAATATTGTTGGGTATAATGAGATATTATCTATTTGCCTTGGTGTCTGTTATCACAATACTCTTGCCATATCCCAACTATGGCAGTTTATTGTTATATGGTTGTTACCATGGAAACTGCAATTGTTATAATTGCGTTATACAAATCTCATAAAATCTGCCAAATTTTCTTACATTTTAAGTATCAACCAATTGAACAGGTAGTTTTGAAGAAGTCAATAGAATCAATTTCCTTACAAAATTGTAAAAAATATTTGCTAAAAATAGTGATTTGAAGATATCGTCACTAAACAAACAAATCTGTCAAAGGTCCACCCAAGGTACCAAGCACCAAACCACTAATTTTCAAGAAGAAATAAAAAATGAAATTGGTACAGATGGACAGACAATCATCTACAAGTATATGTAGCTATGCTTTGCTCTTCAACATCCCAAAACAGTGACAAATGTATTATCCACTATTTTACTTTTTCCTTACTCATTTGTTTGACTGAATCGAACATCTTCATGAATGATCAATGGTGTAATTCTTAGTGACGTCATTTGATAAATGATATTGCATTATTATACATCTGTCACCGTAACGCCATAAGTCACAGCATGCCGTAAATTTGCGGTATTTTACGGGGTATTTTCATACTACCATATTTGGAAATGCGAATTCCAAATATGGAATGATTACGCGCATAAGCGTCCTCTAATAATAAAAAAAAAAATGGCTGCCACCAGGATTTGACCTACAAAGAAGTTCGCTGATTCTGTTCTAAACTTATTGGATTTCGGCATTTCCATGATGTACTTGTATCCTTGAAGGGAAAAAATGTATACGCTGTCGCATCGACCTCCGCTGCGCGTCGGTCGATACTGCCGCTGTACTGTCTTCGTGCATACTTTGAGGTATCTTCGTAATAACCTTATATTCTTCAACAAGGTATACATACATGTTTACATCTGAACATTACATCATAACTGAGGATATTATTTACCTTAAGGGAGGTTTTCAGATCATCAACTTCTTGAAGCAAAGCCAACACATCACCATCTCTATAAACAGATGTAAGCAATGAGATTTCAAAGAAATTTTTCATGATGAATCATATATAATGTATTTGGTTAAAGTAAAAAAATAAATGGAAATTGTCCTAACCTGTTCTGAGTTCATGTATTGAATAAAAAAAGAAAGAAAAGAATTCATGTTAATTATTCAGTTATTAAAAATGACGGCAATAAGCGAAAAAAATAAGCGTAAACAATAAATAAGAGTGAATAAGTTATGTAGATAGCAAGTATTAACACACAACTACAATACAATGTTTTATTCACTTATGAAGATAATAAGTTCTTAATTACATCAAGGTTACAATACGCAATGTTATGCTTAATATCACAAGACAACACAAGTAGAGAATTACAAAATGTAGGATGCAGCAACAACAACAACAACAACAACAACAACAACAACACACCATCTAAAAGGATCAAGTTTAAACCTTATAGTCAAAGAGATTTACTTCAACAAATCCCTGGCAAAATATCAAGAGAAAAAAGAAAAGACAATGTCACCATTATTATCTGTTATTATTATTACATTTCATTGACATCTAGGAAATCCATTAGACAGACATTGGTACAAGATAAGCACTACACTATTTTCTACATCTAAGCTTTCAGATGAAGTATAGGTTGTTATAGTTAACATACTTTAATATTAACTTTCAGAGAATGTTTAAATCACAGATAATTTTTTTCTTAATTTTTCCATTAATTATTGCTACCATAATGCTTAAAAACAGATACTGAGATAAGGTGAGCACCTTTTTTTTTATATTTGTCAATTTTTTTTTTTTTTCAATTACTGTGGAATACTTTATTTTTGCTGGAATTAATTTTCACTGAAAAGGCTTTTTGGGCGTTTTGCTTAGAATTTATTTTCACTGATTTTTGATGAGATTAATGTAAAATATAGGAAAAAATGTATATTCGCTGGATTTTATTTGCACGAAATCATCCCTTCAGCGAAAATAAATTCCAAGCGAAAATAAAGTATTCTACAGTATTTTCAAAATATATTGACAGAAAAGCCAACATTTATAGAATTTTTCAGTCTTAAAATTTTCTATGAGCCGATTTTTTTGTCACAACCGACCATCTTCCCCAGAGTTTCAACAGTCAACTTCTAAAACTGTAAAGTAGGCTGGCCAGCCAAATAGTCGCCATGACTACATGCATGTGTGGCATTACCCTCTTGAGAACAGAGTAGTGATTTTGAGTTCATCCTTGACTGTAAAATTATTGCTATTATTATGTCAAAGCATGTAGAAAAAGACACTTGGTAGAAGAGTATTCGCCTCTTCTTACGTAGAAATAGTTTGCGAATTATTGCCAAAGAAGTTAGACTAGCGAGGGCAATGGTTCAAAGGATGAATGAGCAATTAATTAATCTCTCTAATTAATTAGACATGCTGGCATAATATCCAATCTAGCATATACTATGAAGAATAAATTAAATAAGTAATTAAAATCAATTCATACAAAACTATCTACAATTACCACAAATTTACTATTCACTGATTTTTAAATTAATTTTGTTATTTTCACTGATAAGAAAAATTCGCTAAATTAAATACACGTACAATGTTAAATAACAATAGAACTTTTTGATTCTCTTACAATTTTTTTGATCCTAAAATCCAGCGAAATTGTTTAAAACATCAAAATAGTGAAATTAAATGCTGATGAAAATATATGGTTTACAGTATTCTGGTTGTCAATCGGTTATACCATAGGCTTTGTGTTCGTTACAAATGTGTTTGCTATCATATCTATATCAACATCCAAAACATAATGCACAGCATCTAATACCTAATCTGTAAATATCATTCCATAAATATATTAATCATATTTCATCAGATTAATTATTATATTTGCAATGACATTGTACCTCTGTGGATTTATCAGCTGCACTAACGACAGGTTCCAGAGGTGATGGCGTAGCAGAATCATTATGGACAGCTTCCCAATGGCCTTGCAATGCTTCTGGTGATGGCAATGATGTCATACACATTGGACAGATGAAACCCTACACAAAAATAAACAGTGAGTGAGTAGAAACATTGAGTACCATTATCAAAATCCTTTTTTTATTGCATTTTACCATTAAGTGTTCCTGGTACACGTAAATCCAAATACTAAGATCACAGACATGTAGAGTGTTACAAAATCATGGGGTTTTCATGTGAGAAATTTAACCCTATCAGCCACATTGATTGCAGTTTTGATATATCAGTACCTGAATGGTAAATGGAATACCTGGTTACACAATTGTACAAATTACAAATGCAACAAATGTGATACAATAATTTTAAATTCCAATTTTCTACCTCAACAAATTTCAGTGTTTCATGATTGATAACTCATTTTCAATAGACCTTGGAATGTCAGGTGAAAAACAAAACACTTTCAAATTGCAGGACATGATAGAACACACACAGATTGTAAAGCCCAGTGAGACACACAAATACAGTAACATGACAATAACAAATTAAATTTAAATAAATAACTAGGATTTAGAAAATAAAATTCACTTAAACGCTATAAAAACTTATCATGACTTTTGCAGTGAAATGAATATTAATTTGTGAAAAAAAAAAAATAAATAAATAAAATAAAAAACAGCCACGCCCCCCAACCACAGTAGTCTGTTTCTGGCTTTCTGAATTAAGACAAACTTATGACAAAGGGTGGAGCCATGCAAGTGCAAAACTAGTAGGCAGATGAAAAATCATAATTTTGTTGTCTGGGAATTAATCAGTCTGTTTTATTTCATTTATGGGTGCAAAATATTATTGAACAATTGTCTTCTGGCGGCATTATACTGCACACCTATGCAGACTAGGTATGATTGCTGCTTAAAAAGTGCCACTGGTGGTTGAAATTGAAAACTGATTACAAAAATAAAGACCAGCAACATCTCAAACGAATCGCTCTTAATTTCTGTCTAACGTGAATGTGTGTTTCAATATATGCGATATCAACGAAAGCAACCCATAAAAATGCTGCATAAAAATCAAATTTTAGAAAAATGTTCACATTCAAATAATGAGTATCAGTAGTCATGTTTTGTTGTATCTAGTTTTACAAAAGAAGATCATATGAATTGAATATAATACATAAGTCTAGCGACAGACCAATAAAAATCGTGCATTTATGTATTCGGTCATTGAATTTGTCCATATTTGGTACTGATGACTGATATTATGAGGTTATTACGAGAATACCACAAAGTATGCACAAAGAAAGTACAGCTGGAGTATCGACTGACTGTCTGATAGCAAACTTAAAATACACTGTACATCATTTTAAGCTAAATCACAGATTGCAAAATTTATATACGAGAAATGTGTCTGAGCTCCTGTAAATGAATCAAGTTGTTACTGTACTAATAACACAGCCTACAATTTGTCGTCCAAGATTTATTAAAAAATATAGTGTAAGTTTATTTTAGATTATTTAATAGTCAATAGACAATGAACTAGAATCACACACCAATAAGTGATTTTGGACATCTTGGAGACGCTTTAACAAAAACTACAAAATTGGGAGGTTGCAACTTTAACTTGTTTTTTAAAATGTTTTGAATCGGATGTGGCTGATAATCTAACTATCGCCATACCTTGA